TTGCTGTCCATCCACCTGTCTGTTCTTTTAATAAATGAGTCCGTGCAGTGTCAGTAGGGATGAAACACAGTCCTTTTCGTCTGTGGGTGTGTTTTATGTCCTGTGCTGTGCTGCTTCCACTTTTGTTTCCTAAATAAAACGTCATGTGATGTTAAGAAATGCATGTCAGACTGGGAGGAGGGAGCCGCTCCCCCACCTCTCCTGTCACTCCAGCTCAACCACTACGTACCTGTGAGGCCCCATTTCTGAGGTAGCCTGTTGGCATCTTTATGTAGAAAAGAGGAGCTGCACTAGATTATTCCTACAATTCCTCCTAGAACTAATCATCTGTAAGTATAGATGCCTAATCCTGGGCGTTTTAGACCAGGTCCGAGGGGCAAGAGGTGCCGTGGTGGGCACCCTTTGCCTCACCCCATATAGATTCCTGTTATAGGCAGGAGAGTGAGTATAGGACAGGGCCTGCCTGGGCTTGACTCTTGTGGCTGTGAGGAAGTTACTAAACCTCTCTGTGCCTCAGTTTTCTCATCTGTAAAATGAGGATAATAAAATATACTTGATAGGATTAAATGTGATACTGCTGCCTGGCCCACATGACTCAGTGATTGAGCATCCACCTGTGAACCAGGAGGTCACAGTGTGATTTTCTGTCATGGTATATGTCTGGGTTGCAGTATCGATCCCAGTGTGGGGCCTGCAGGAAGCAGCTGATCAATGATTCTCTATCATCATTGATGTTTCTCTTTCTCTCTCCCTTCTCCCTTCCTCCCTGAAATAAACATATTTAAGATAAATAAATGTGATACTAGTTAGAATAGTGCTTGGCGCATTGGACAGGTCCTATGAGTGTTTGCTATTCTGAAGAGCTGGCCCTGCTACACCTGTCTGGTTCCCTCCATTTTCCACCTAGTGGACTTGTATTCGGTGCCTGTAGTTAGACAATGTTTGCATTTTTGGAGTCACTGACTTTCTAGAATCCACTCCTGGTCGGAGGCAAACAGGCAAACCTGAAGGACACACTCAGCCTGTGACTCCGGGAGGCCCTCGGGCAGCAGGGGTCTTACCTTGACTTCCGAGGCCCCGACCCCTCCGATCTTGACCTCCTGGTTGGCCACCAGGATCCGGAGGCCTCGCAGCCCGGCAGGCCCTCCGTCGGGCTTCTTCTTGTTGATGTCGATCTCCAAGTACTCGGGCTGCTCGGGGCAGGTCCTGAGCACCGTGTAGGAGAACTCGGCGGGGAAGGCGAAGGCGGCACCGTCGAAGGTGTGCAGCACCTGGTTCTGGCTGAGCAGGCACACAGTCTCGCGCCGGGGGAAGCAGCCGCGGTGGCCCTGCTCCACGGTGCACACCTCGTCGACACGGCAGGTCCGGTTGAAGCAGTACACGTCGCCACCCTCCTCGCACAGGCACTGCACCGTGCAGTTGGCGGTGGCCCAGAAGAACTCCCCCAGAGTGTAGTAGCGGCCGTCGAAGTCGCAGCCGCACTCGTGCAGCGGGACGCACTGGCTGGCACTGAGGACGAAGCCATCATTGCACTCACAGCCCTCTGTGCAGGGCGTGGCACAGGTCTGCGAGGCCGTGAGGTCTGCGCACGTGTCCGGGCAGCTGCTGGTGCACACAGAGTAGTGGCTGAAGCTGGGGCACTGCACCGTGGATACTGGTGTGGGGAGAGAAGAAAGTAGGACAGCAAGGTCAGTGACCTGGGGGATGAAGCTGGGAGCCACGTGCATGCACAGCGGCCACAGGAGTCACATGCACCGGAGCCTGGAGGAAAGCACTCCTCCCACTTCACTCCCAGAATGAGGGCTGAGTAGGAAGAGAAGCTGGAGGCTGTGTCTGAGGAAACAAACTCAGCTGCTTCCCTAGTAACCATGGAGCCTGGGGACACACTTGTGGACTTTGGTTCTCATCCCACCATCCTGACCGAAATTAAAGAGCAGGTTTCCATCCTAACCAGACTGTAGATTATTCAACATAGATTTGTTGTTTGGTGACCTACAACCATTAAGCTATTTTAAGATCTTCAACTGATGGGCATATAAGTTGTTCTGATTTTAAAGGGCATGGCCCATTCTTAGGAGGAAATACATTCAACTTGTAGGAGAAATGAAAAAAAGTAACTATTAGAGAAGTAATTTGAAAACATCAAATTCCTAACAGAGACCAGAGAAGACTGGGAGCATGGATCCTCTGGCACACGGGGAATAAGGAAGCGCCTGGCAATCTGCACAGACTTGTGTCTGGGCTGCAACTAGGACCAGTGCCGTCTGATGGCCCCTCTGGCCTTAGAGACGGTCCATTCTCACTTTAAGGACATCAGAGTCTTTGTAAATGTCTGGATTGGGTTGATTCCAACAGTCAGGGGCTCAAGGGCCTGATAAACTAGCTCCTTAATTCAATATGATTCATCCCCCACTGACCTTAGAGAGAGGGAGACGGAGGGAAGGGGAACGAGGAGAGAGAGATGAGAGAGAGAGACGGGAGAGAGAGAGAGAGAGAGAGAGAGAGAGAGAGAGAGAGAGGTGGAAAGTCGTACCACTGGACAAAATAGTCATTCTAGGCAAGAATTTGATTGGCAGTTTGGATGTTCTTGGACTATAAAAGAATCAAAGAAACACCAAATTCAATTTAAGTTTAATCAGAACTTGGATGCTCCAGACATAATAGACGGGCCAGTTTAAGGAAAAGGAGTACACTCTGTCTTAGTGGTGTGACCGGTACTCAAAGAAATGAATCTGATACATGGTGATGGATGTGAATTCAACCTATACTGGTGGAATGAAAATCTCACTCTGGCCTTGGAACTTACATTTTTAAATCTTCTCACCTCTGTAGCAGTCTCAAATGCATGGATTAGAATTTCCTGTTTCCTCATATGGAGAAAACCAAGGACCAGGAAAGAAACAAAATTCTGAGTGGCTTGTCTCGGTTTGCTTGTTTTAAAAGTTTGCATAACTAGGAAAGAAGGCGGGGCTTAAGTGGGCCAGAAGGAAAGAAAAACGAGATAACTAAATGGTACAAAATGCTTCATCCAAAAGGGTAACTCAAAGGAAACCGCTTCCCCATGCTGCTGGGCCCGGCCTCACACGGGCATTTCAGCAAAAGGGCTTCTCCCTGGCCTGCCTGCTTCCCACTGGCACCGCCTCCTCCACCACCAGCAGCAGGTCAGCTGCAAGTGAGCGAGAGACACAGAACTAAAGGGGCTGAATGTGGGGGAGAGCGAGCCAGGGACAAAGGCTGTTGGTCCTGTGGGAAGTGTGTCACTGACCAAAGGCTGGTTTGACCACACGGCCAATGTCTGCATTTGCTCAGGAGCCACCTGCACCTCTGAAAGCCCCTCCTGCTGGACTCTGAGACGGTCCACCTGCTGCAGGGCCTTCCCCGCCAAGCATTCCTACCGCGCCTTTCACGTTCCGCGACCATTTAGGCTCATCAGTAGTTTCTGGCTATCGTATCAGGCGGGGTACACGTAAAGATCCTTTTACACGTCGTCCTTTCTTTTGTTTTGTTTTGTTAATCCTCACCTGAGGATATTTTTCCATTGAATTTTAGGGAGAGTGGAAGAGAGAGGGAAAGACAGAGAGAAACATCGATATGAGAGAAACACATCGATTGGTTCCTCTTGCATGTGCCCTGGCCAGGATCTGGGCCGGGGAGAAGCCTGCAACTGAGGTATGTGCCCTTGACTGGAATCAAACCTGGGACCCTTTGGTCTGCAGGCCGATGCTCTATCCACTGAGCCAGACTGGCCAGGTCCAGTTCAGTCTTTATAATTTGTGATATTTCAACCTCACCTCCACTGTTGGACAATCCTAACAAAGAGGTTTCCCAGGAGCCCTCTCCCTGTCCTCCTAGTGGGATGGGACCTCAGCTTACCACACCCAGTCTGGAGGCGCCAGTCTCCGATTGGAATGCCAAGGGCTTGGCACACGAGGGCATAGGCCTGGATGGCTTGGCAGAGGAGAGTCCCATTGTCCCTCACGCTGCATAGGTCATACACGCAGCTGTGCACGAAGGCTGTGGGGTCCACCACGGTGCCGCACTCCCACAGGGGCCCGTCTGTCTTGTTGAGGAAGCCGCAGTAGTCGGGGCCGAAGTACAGGGCCTCTGTGGCCGTGTCGCACTGGGTGCAGTTGTCCACGCAGCCCGAGTCACATAGCCACTCAGCATGGTAGACCCGCCAGCTCTCTCCCAGATCCAGCACAGACATGGCCGGCCTACCGTCCGGGCGGAGGAAGTCGTCCAGTGGGTTCTTGTTGTAGTTCCCACAAAGCCCGCACGTGGAGTTGGTGTAGGAGCCCGGGATGGAGATGGAGGCGTAGTGCTGGCCATCAAACGTCACTAAGAGCCCAAAATCTGTTTCCACTGCAGTGGACATGCCGCTCTGGTAGATTTTCACAGCCCCCAAGTCTAAGGTGATGGGCAAAGAAGTCACTAGATCATTCACCTGCCAACAACAATGACAGCAAAAGGCAGGTGAGCCTGGGCCAGGCATTGGTTCCAGCCAGTGTCAGGAAGGGGAGGAAGGTGACTCAGCGCCACAGGAAGCACGGTGCCCCACTGCCTGGGCTCTGTGCTGGCCTCCTAAGAAGGTGCAGGCCTGGGGAATCCTCGAGGCCAGGCTGGCGTGGGCCAGCTGAGCACTGGGTGACCCTGAAGCTGTGACAAACACACATTGCTAGTGCCACTCTGGACTTCTTGGGGTCCAGGTGGTTGTCACTCTTCCTGCTGGCTCCAGGGCTAGCTAGCTTCAAGTCTCTTCTTGAAAAACTAGTTGCCTCATTTTCCCTCTTTATTCCTCTAAATCCAATCTTTAAATCCTAGCTGAAGTCACTATTTTCCATTCCACCCTCAGTGCACTCAGCACTCCCGGCCCTCCTCCCACTGACGGCGGCGTGCTGGAAACTGCTCCCCATGACGCAGTGTCGAGACTGTCCCGGTGTTATTTTCCAGCTGTTTTGCCCTGTCATTTCCTGGTATCAGGATTATTCAACAACAACAAATGTGAGCACTGTGTTAGGAGTTGAGAAATAAGGAATAAAAAAGAGGATTGCCCCTGCCTCCCCCAAGCGCTCAGTGCCCCGGGGAAGAGGGCCAGGGATGGTATTTATAATACACGGTTTGAAGTATGTGTTAATAGGTGATGCAATGGGAGAACAGGACATGAACACGTAATCCAGCCCGAGGAAGCCATAGAAAGCTTTCCAGTTGGAATCAAGTCTAACCTGTGTCTTTAAAGAGAAACAGAAGTGGCCAAAGGAAGGCTGGGGGCAGGGAATTCTGGGATAAAAGAATAAAGGCAGGTGGGATGGGCATCGGGCGTTACTACGCTGCAGAGAGAAGGGGTAAACAGAAATGAAGCTGGAGACGGGGTCATAGCCCATTCACTAAGCACATACCAACTCAGCCTTTTCTGGGTACTAAGCCCTGTCCTAAGAGCCGGGGGTTACCAACAAGTGGAAATCCCTGCATCATGGAGCTTATATTTCAGTTGAAGAGACCAACAACAAACAAAATAAACAGGAAAAAATATGTGAGTATGTCAGAAAAATGTTCTGCAGGAAATAAAGCAGGGAACGTGGGTCAAAAGTAGTAGGAAAGAGGGTTTCTAATTTCAAATATGGTCATCAGGGAAGACTTCGCCAGGAAAGGGACATCTGAGGTGAGGAAGCAAACCATGCTGTCATCTGGGGTGAAAGTGGCTCATGAAGCGTGGACAGCCAGGCCCTGAGGGGGAGCGTGCAGGGACTCCCAGGGCCTCAGGGGCCGGTGTGACAGTAATGGAGAGAGCAAGGCGATGGCCGATAATGCCAAAGAGAGAAGAGCAGCCAGAACAGGCAGAGCCATTCAGCTACTGTGAAGACCTCGGCTTTGAGCAAGATGAAGTTAAGAGGGTGCCTAGAACAAAGGATCAACATAATCTGACTATCATGTTTAGAAAATGGCTTGGGCTTCTGTGTTGGAAACAGGCCTTGGAGTGCCTTTAAAGCTGTGCTTTAAAACCAAACAAAATCCCACAGAAATGAAACCCAAAAAACTTGCATTTCTCTTCTTTAAGGAGGGTCCACAAAGGTTTAGAAAAAGGAAATGACATAGTCAGACTTGCATTTCAGAAAATCCATGCTGTGAAGGACACAACGATGTATGTCAAAATTAGAAGCAGAGCAACCAGATGGACAACTGCTGCTAGAACCCAGGGATGATGGCGGGTGAGGGTCTAACCTGCGTAATTACATGGAGAAAGAGGGACAGTCATGGGGTGCACTCAGCAGGAGCTGGTGGGGTTTTGAAGTGAGGAGTGAGAAATGCGGGAAGAATCAAGAGTGAGGCCCCAAAGTCTGGCTCACTTGAGCAGGTGGCTTGATTAAGTCTCCAACAGGAGAGTGAATTGTCTTCTCTTTCACACTTACCATGCCTAGAATCTACAGAGCTCACATTAGTGGGCTGAGGTTGAGTGACAAGTCCATGGTGGAACTGACTGTAAGTGCATGTACACTTCCCAAGCTGATTTCTGGCAGACAAGGATAAGGGTCTTCGGAATTGTCTAGGAGGTGAGACAACAGACTGTCCAAGATCACTCCCAAGAGTTACCATGGCACTATCATATGCAATTCTCTGTCTCTGTACTTAAGGGGGAAAAGAGACAAGAAAAATATACTCAAGAAATAAGTTGTCCAGAGATCAAAGATGGCAGCAGAGTAGGTGGCAGCTACACTCATTTCCTCCCAGGACCAAACTGGAACTACAACTGAAGTCTAGAGCAGTCATCATAAATAACCAACTGAACAGAAGTCTCATAACCAAGGATGTACAGAAGAAGCCACATAGACAGTAGGAAAGGTGGCAACACATGAAGGGCTGGCCCCACTCCCACGGGCAGCAGCTGAGATTCTGAGGGGCATCTCAGGTGCAAAGGTTCCTTCTAAGGAACGTGGGTCGCAACCCGCTGCCAGGCTCCCCAGCCCAGAGCCCCAGAGCTGGGATGAGGCACCCACATAACATCTGGCTGTGAAAATCAGCAGGGGCCTGTCTGCCAGGGAGAGAGGGGAGTCTGCTAGAGACACAGGCACCCTTTTAAAGGGCCAGTGCACAAAATCTCATTTGCAGCCACTTACCTTGGGCTCAGGGAGAAGCAGACTAGAGTCTTGTGAAGAAAGACTGAGGAATGTGGCTCCTTGAGTGTGGCCACGAAGTTTCAATCTCACTGTACGTGTGTGCCCGTGCGTGGTATTTTGTGGAAGAGCCACACTCAAGGGACAAAAGAGCCGCATGTGGCTCGAGAGCAGCGGTTTGCCGACCACTGCACTAGTCCCACCTTCATGCCTCCTGGTGGCACTGTCCTACCAGCCTAGGACTCCTGGGAGAATCTGGGACAGACTGAGCTAAGTGACTCTAGGATGGAGGCCATCATATTTCCTTTCCTCACCTGACTCATGCAGAGCCTCCCTTCACATGGCTAAATCTCAGTCTATTTGGGCCTGATAAACTCTGTTGGCATCACCCTGATGACTCCCTGAGACCCTGCCCCAGCACAAAGGTCTGTGGGCACATGGCAGCAGCAGCTGGACTTGGTGCATCCTGGGACTTTGGCTGAGTGGCCTCAGACCCAGCACTGGCACTGAGCTTGAGACTGTATCAGTTTGGTGAACATTACTCACCCCTGTCTGGTGACTCACTGAGAACCTGCACTATGCAACTCGAATTTCACCAGAAGTTCTTTCAGTGACCGAGCCAAACAGGTAGCTGGCAAGCAAAGGCAGGTGTAGGTAGATCTCGCGGTGTTTGGGACTTTTGCTGATCTGCCCACGTGCTCAGTACTTGTGGAACCAACCTAGATGTTCGCAGCAGCTGAGATTCTGAGGGGCATCTCAGGTGCAAAGGTTCCTTCTAAGGAACGTGGGTCGCAACCCGCTGCCAGGCTCCCCAGCCCAGAGCCCCAGAGCTGGGATGAGGCACCCACATAACATCTGGCTGTGAAAATCAGCAGGGGCCTGTCTGCCAGGGAGAGAGGGGAGTCTGCTAGAGACACAGGCACCCTTTTAAAGGGCCAGTGCACAAAATCTCATTTGCAGCCACTTACCTTGGGCTCAGGGAGAAGCAGACTAGAGTCTTGTGAAGAAAGACTGCGGATTGTGGCTCTGGGGAGAGAGCTGAAGGGACGGCCACCAAGATCCCAGTGCTGAGTCCCTTTCCCACACCACAGACACCAACTTTCTTGGGTGGAGCACTCCCCTCCTTGCAGCATCAGCCGACAGAGCGTGTGCCCTGCTGAGGAGTCAGTTGCCTGGGCCCAGGTGTAGAGATCAGGACATATTCAAGGGGTGTCAGTGAGAGAGTAGTGTGGCTTTGGGGTGGTGGACTTTCTCTTCACTTTCCTTTGAAACTGACTGGCACCTGCCTTTCATAGGAGATCTGCTAGCCCCACCCTCCCGACTCCTGGTCACCACACCCTGGTGAGCATGGGTTGCCCAGGAGGTCTGTACAAATCCAAGACAGACTGAGTTGTGTGGCTGTGGGGCAAGGGACACCCCCACCTTTCCCCAAGCCTCATCTGCACCTCACCCTCTGAAAAGATCCACTAGCCCAGTGGTCGGCAAACTACGGCTCGCAAGCCACATGCGGCTCTTTGGTCCCTTGAGTGTGGCTCTTCCACAAAATACCGACTTCTGCTCATGGGCCACGAAGTTTCAATTGCACTGTACATGCGCACCCACACGTGGTATTTTGTGGAAGAGCCACACTCAAGGGGCCAAAGAGCCACATGTGGCTCCCAAGCCACACTT